ATAGTATCTCCAGCCCAAAGGCATTGTCATGGGAACACAAAGGGCCCACATTACACCAAAACTTTCAGGCTGACTTAGAACAACACTTCCCCAGCTCTTGTTCCCAGAAGTCTTATTTCTATCTGAAAGTTATCAATCACATCTTTATTTTGTGGACTCGTGGAAGAAAGGGACTAATGAAGTTCCTCCAAGGATTTCTTAACTTTAATTTTACCACCAGTCTCAGCCTAGGCCAGTCTATGCAATGGGTCCACTTTCTAGGCACCACTTTAAACTACAGAAAGGACAGATAACAAGCACTACACAAAGGACAACTACTCATATTTATATACTTCCAGCTTGCCTTTCCTTCCTTTTTCATTGCTCTCTTAGAAGATCATGAAAAATATTCTTGAATAGCATAAAACAAAGTATTTGGACACCATAAAGTGTTTCAATTATTTTGAAGCAGTCAATAGCTGAAACAAATGTAGCAATTGTGTTGGTAAAATGAGGATTTTTGTCTTGTAGTAGCTTAGGAACACAGGTCCTCAGAGAGCGGTATTTCCAGAAGTAGACTATATCTATGAAAACTGATGAATAAAATCTGTTGCCATTTTTGGGAGGAACAAAGACTCCCCAGTCCTGTGTTAAAGTGTACCAGCCAGCATCAACACCTGTGACTGCAGATCATCAAGTAGGATACTTTTTCCCATTATCCTTGCCTCAGGACTGCAGAGTTTCAGAAGGTTCATACTGTCTTCCAAGATATATTGCCAGCCATAGTCTATAACTGGCACAAAACAACAATACATGGAAAATAGATATATTCGAAACTGAGGAAACAGTGCAACATCTAGAACCCTAATATGCCTTCAAGGTAAGAGTGAATAATACTTAAGTCAAAAACACTGGGAAAAGAGGCAAAAAGTAATCAATTCAATTGCCCTGGATGTCTTGCAATGTCAGACGTTATTTATAGTTTCACTTCTTTCTGTTCTAACAACAAATGAGGGAGGTTAAGATTCGGAAACCGCTGCCACAAATACAGCTGATCCTGATAACAAATGCACACCGGACCATTTCTGTGGAATGTTAAGCTGTGCTTTAATTTGTCGCAAAGTAACCATAAATAGACTCAAGGAAAACTGTCACATACATACCTCGATTATCATTACCTTATGAATCATTTATCAACTGGGAATATTAGGGCTTAGTATTGTGAGAATAGTAAGAAATGATCTTAATCCCCATTTGACATTTTGTTTGGGTTTACTGCTTCAGTGTGACATTTGCCTTATCCATCCTTTTCGATATGCTCCTTAAATAAATGCTAATTTCTTTGGACTTTGTTGCCTATATATACCTCATTTCTTCACAGACTAGATTTTAACAGTGATGTCTGATATGGGTGGGGTTGGTCTGAGTGGGTCCATAGAAAGAACACTCTGATGGGATCTCATCACAGACTTACTCAGTGGCAACTGCAAATGGGAACAAACCACCATTTAAATGTTCTCATAATGCACTTGATGATGTCATTGTGGGAAATCATAGAGAATTTAAATAGTAATCCCTATTGGATGGAGTTTCCATAATAATTCCCCACACTCCTCCAGATAAATGTATCATGGGCTCTTCAGAAAATTTTAAACCATGGCTCTCGGACACAGCTGCCCAGTATGGGGGGGGTGAGCAGGATGAATATTTCTCAAGGTATTGGGGGCTCTGGTAACTAACCAAGAATGCTGTGGGATGAAGTTCGGCCTGGACAAGATGACGCTAAAACACAATTACTAACACCTGTGAAGAAATCCATAGTAAGATCTCATTTGGCTATAATTCAGCATAAAGAAAATTGATTTTGACCACATACTCCTTGTGTACTCTGAGTTACAACCTCCTAAAAAGACCACACTATGCAGTGCCACAAAATTGTACATCATGCCAGAATGATGGTTTTAAGGAAAACAACCTTATTGTTTTCCGTACACCATTAAAACAACCTTACACCATTAAACACCCCATAGAATTTGACCACACCAGAGTACAATATAAAATGGTCTCTGTTTGGAGGGAGGTTCCTCTACAGCAAAACTAAACTAACTTTTTAATATTTGTTGCTAACTTCAGAGCAAGAAGGAAGGCATAGCTATGTGCTAGGTGGTGTCTATTCAGAAGCTTATTAATTTGCATTTTCTAGTATGTGGATTCAACCAGTGTTAAACTTTAAGCACTGTTTTCACTCACTCTTTTACTCTTCTTCTGATGTAACTGGAAGTGGATCCATGTCAAAGTGTGTATCACAAGTGTGAAACCCGCTACTGATGCTTATTTTCATATCTTATAGGAAACTATGGTGTGACCACAAGCATGAGAAACCCTACTGAAATATTTTAGTCTTATTTACTATGGGACTCCTGTAAGGTCTACTAGTTTCCACACTCCCCTGCATTTTTATTAATAAAAACATGATAAAAGGTTATCTCTTAAAGGGCTATTAGCTGCTTACTCTTAAAAACCACTGTCGGCTCAGATTCACTATTATACGGTAACTGTACAGGATTACAGAAAAGAAAGAAAAGCACTCCACATTTTATCAGTCCATGGATTACAGGGCATTAGGATTATGGGAACTGCAAATAAAATATGCATAATTAATTTTAGAAAGTCATATTAAAAACTATTGGAACTTTAATTTTTTTAACTCTAAAAACTAATCAAAATCACTACATTTTCTATATACTGGCAATCAACATTCCCTCTAATTTTCCGCCACTGCTATGTGGGGGCCCCGCCCTATGTGTGCCAGGTTCCAGCTGTGATCAGAACCAAAATGGGAGGAAAACTGACTGTGGGTGAGTGGCATCAATGCAGTGCTACGTAGCTCTGCACTTGTGCAGTTTAGAGGGAATACTGCTGGCAACAGACTTTGAAATTTTAAGAACTTGTAATAAAGCCTTATACAGTGGTGCCTCGCTTAGCAATCGCTCCGTTGAGCGATGAAATCGCTTAGTGATGGTCCCTATGGGGAAAATTCGCTTTGCGATGATTGCGGGGAAGTGATCATGGCAAAGCGACCCTTTTTTAACAGCTGATCGGTGGTTTCAAAATGGTGACCGGAAAAACAAAATGGATGCCCGCTGTTTTGCCTCGCTTAAGAGGCAGCGAAAATGGCAGCGCTATGGAGGATTTTCACTGAAAGGTAAGTTTTTAAGCCCATAGGAATGCATTAAACACGTTTTAATGCATTTCTATGGGCTTTTAAAAATCGCTTAGCGACAGTTTTTCTGGAAGGGATTAACGTCGCTAAGCGAGGCACCACTGTATTAAAGAATCCATACATATGTCAAAATATGCTAGTATTTCTCTTGTATTAGCAATATTTGAAAAAAGGGTTTACTTGCTGATTATTGACCTGCATCTTGTTGCTGATCTACACTGCTCTAAAGGCAATAGTTTAAGTCTTGGGAGCAAATTGCCACTCATTATCAAGGTGCTGGCTACATTTCTTTGTACATAATTGACTGGGCACGTACTCAGGACTGCAAAGAGCACTTTGTGAAGGAGTAGCCATTTGCTTCTAAGACTTACATGACTTCCGTCATGCAAGTATAAATTTTGATTTACACCATATTTGCCAGATATTTTAGACACTATCTTTTAAGCCAGTGGTTCTCGAACTTGGACAACCCAGATGTTCTTAGACTGCAATTCCCAGAAGCCTTCACCATCAATTCTGCTGCTTGAGGTTTCTGGGAGCTGCAGTCCAAGAACACCTGGGTTATCCAAAGTTGGGAATCATTGTTCCAAGCCATTAAGTTCTTTGAGGTATAGTTTTTGCTTATTGGTTACAATTGAGCAGCAAAATTCCCAGGGCAGAAACTATTCATAAAATAAAAATAAAAATTGTTCTTGTTATATACCATCAAGTTGATCTGAATTATGGCAACCCTATAAATGAACAATCTCCAAAATATCCTGCCCTCAACAGTCTTGCTCAACTCTTGCAAACTCAGGCCCTGGCTTCCTTTAGGAATTAATCCATCTGATATTTTGTCTTCCTTTTCCTTCTGACTTCAACCTTTCCAAGCATTTTTGTATTTTTAAGAGAAACCTGCCTTCTCATGACATAGGACACCCTCAGTTTCAACATATTTGTCTCCAAGACAGTTCAGCTTTGAATGGATCTAGGTCTCATTTGTTCACCTTGCTGGCAGTCCAGGGTATCTCCTCCACATTTCAAATGAATCATTTTTTTCCTGTCAGCTTTCTTTATTGTCCAGCTTTCATACTGTACATCAAGGGTGGGCAATTAATTTCTATAGGGGGGCCACATAAAAAATCTGAACTGTGTTCAGGGGCCGAACCAACTTTAATTAAAAATAAAATGAAACACTGATGTTATGATTGTTTTTATTTTAAACTTGTTAATCTTCACAAATACCAAAGAAGTTTTTTGTGGTATGTTAAAGATAAGCAACTGATCAACTGTGGACAAAAAGATATAAATGGTTTTGATCTCTGGCCAGCCAGCCAGGAGTGGCCCTCGGGCTGCTCTTTGCCCAGGTCTGCTGTAAATGGTGATTAGAATTACAAGAGTGTGGATGATTTTGGTCTTGGATTCCACTGACATATCCTTACACTTGATTATCTTTTCTAGTTCTTTCACTGCTGTCGTTCCACATCTGAGTCTTCTTATTCCTTCACTTCAGTCTCCATTGGAATTTATGAAGGTATACAAAATCTTTCATTATTTTAATTTTTTCACTGTCAACATTAAAGCGTTGTAGTTTTTCTGTAGTCATGGTTTTGATCTTAATGTTCAACTGCAGTCCTGCTTTGGCACTTTCTTCTTTCACTAAAACTCATTTCAAGTCATTGCTGCTTTCTGCTAGTAAGATAGCGTCTTCTGCATATTTTAAGTTACTGATGTTTCTTCCATCAATTTTCACTCCTCTTCATCTGAAACCAGCCAGGAACCAACATTTTATTAAAATTTGTAAAAACTTGGTACTAACCTTTCAACAGGATCTCTGAGCATAACAATCAGCTTTGCATTTGGCTGGAAGGCATGGATAAAGTCCTGAATTAAAAATGGTGGCTCTCCATCTGTACTATTGTCATAGAAGAAAATCCAAGCATTATTGTCCCACATGGTTGAAGCACTTGCCTCTCCTAGAAAGACAAGAAGTGCATACTGTTATTCTTCATTCTGCAGAACTAGATCTAAACACTGGTATTAAAGCTTTGGAGACCTGAACATCAAAAGCAACCAGTACATTAAAAGCAACATTCTAAGTAATGTTAAAAGAGTCTGGATTGGTTCATGGGCAAAATTGTACTTGTCATAATTTATACTGGTGCCTTTTTAGATTGTTGTTGTTGTTTAGTCATTAATTCATGTCTGACTCTTCGTGACCCCATGGATCAGAGCACGCCAGGCCCTCCTGTCTTCCATTGCCTCATGGAGTTGGGTCAAATTCATGATGGCAGCTTCAATGACAGTCCAACCATCTCATCCTCTGACATCCCCTTCTCCCCTTTTTAGATAAAACTCCCAAATAATGAGTTTGAGGATATCCTTTGTAGCATCAAGTCTACCTTCCACTGGGTGCAGTTCTGGATTAAGCAATATTTTACTGGATCATTAAACAGTTACAAGGCAAGCTTTTGAGTTCTACAGAACTCATCCTCTAGCACATATGGTATAAAACATGGGGTTCAAGCACAAAGTTAGAAAAGTAGGCCGTGGCTCATGCAGTTAAGACTGCCAGGGAGGCAAAAGTTTCAGGTTCTACTTGAGTAGGAGGCAATAACAGGCTCCTGCCTAAAGATAAAACCTTGGCCTGGTCCCTTGCAGATCTTCTAGTTGTTGTGTGCAAAGCCTCAGGCCTCTTTAGAGAGTTAATCACATATGGCCCAATTTTGGATCTTCTGCTCAAACCTCAGCTTTTACACCATCTTCACCTGATGATGAGTTCTATACAACCCAAATTCTAACCTTACCTGTAATTTTAATGATCCAATAAAGGTATGCTGAACCCAGAACTTTGCTTCTATAAATGAATCATATGGCTATTTTTTGTGTTTCACTGGGGTATGGGCATAAAGGAAACAACATTTTCAAGACATGCTTCCAATTCTAAATACACTTATTCAGGAGTAAACCCTACAGAACTGTCAAGATTGGATATTTATTATGCAAAGAGTACTAAAATAATGAAGGGAACTATAAAAAATGCAACCCAGAAAATGTACACTCTGCTGCTTAAAGAAATGAAGTTTGAACAGTGGTATTCAAGAGGTCACAGCAAGACAAGCAGCTAACTGTCCATCTTAAGCTAACACAGGGAAAGCAAGGTCAATGCAAAGTCAGTGTTTATTACTCATATGGGGTTGTACTAATTCACCATGCTTCTGTTTGGCTTGCATAACTCCTATATTCCAGAGGCGAATTAATAACTTGTCAGCAGGGCTGCTATTTGTATGCACATACATGGATGACTTGGCAATTTTTAGCCAGAACTTTGAAGCTCATTTTGCAGCATTTAGAAATTATGTTGAATCACTTGCAGGAGGAAGGACTGACTGTCAAGGCCTCAAAATGTCAGTGAGTATGAATATTTTTTGGGGGGGTGTCATGGTGTGTGTGGGGGGCGGACAAGTCCAACCCCCTGAAGCCAACATGTGAAGTGTTAAAGAATGACCTGTGCCCCAAAACAAAACAAAAAAGTCACGTCCTTTTTGGGTCTGCTGGATACGATTGGAAGCTTCTTCTACATTTCCATCCATTGAAAGACATCTAACATATTTGTGCAAAAAGCATATGCCAGTGAAGGTTCAATGGACAAAGACTTGCCAACAGGCCTTTGAGACCTTAAAGGCTAAGTTGGTGGAAGCACTTATTTTGATGGCTTCAGATTTTGATTTTGTTTTGCAGAAAAATGCTAGTGAGTTTGGCCTAGGTGCAGTGTTACCACAGAAAGGGCCAGATAGGAACCTTCACTGTTTCCTTCGTCAGCAGGAATCTCCTGCCAAGAGAGAGAAATTACTCTGTGATTGAAAAGGAGTGTCTAACTGTTATTTGACCTATGGCCAAGTTGTAACCTTACTGCCAACAGACCACACACCTCTGGTTTGGGTCAACTGCATGCACAACCATAATCTATGTTTACTGAGATGCAGTCTCGTCTCCAGGATTTCATCTTTGAGGACCCGCAAATCAAGAACTGTGAAAATGTGGTGATGGGTGAGTTGTCCAAAATGCATGTTGGAGAAGAATGACCAGTGGGAGATGGGAATGCTGTTGCTGAATTATTAGAAAATGAATATATGGTGTATTTTGTGTACTCTTACCTTTTTTATTTCAGATTCTCTACACCCTTAAATGAATAACACTTTCTAGTATTATCTCCACATGTTATATGCTGATATGTTTTCTTAATCTATCCCAGCTTGCTTAGAGTAGTCAGCTTGCTTGCTTGTTTAACTACAGTAGGAATCTCCATAGGGAATGTTTGTTTGTTGTTTACCAGCCATCTACAGTAGTGGCAAATCATTACTATGGGCGGTTTATAACAATTAATACACCACGCTCACCCACCAAAACCAAAACAAACAAATAATATTCACAGAAGAACCCTCAGATGACAGCTAAATGAAAATAAAATTTAAACGTAATGGGTCAGGAAAACTTCCTATGTTTGTGAGAAGCAAGCCACATCCAATCCATGACAAATTAACTACTGCTGCATTTAAGTATCAAATCTCAACAACACACTTCAAAAATATAGCTTAAAAAAAAAGAAACTAAAACAACATGACACATGAATAAACTGCTTACTTTCATTAGAGAGTGGCTGTAGAATGTCCTTATCCAGAGATTATAGGAATAAAGTTGTTTTGTGATTTCATAAAACATTCTGGCAAATTCACCATAATAATGCTCATAAATAAATACCGTATTTTTCGCTCCATAAGACGCACCTCTCCGTAAGACGCACCTCATTTTTAGGAGAGGAAAACAGGAAAAAAATATTCTGGCAAATTCATAAGGCAGTAGCAATAGATAGATGTTGTCACATCAATTACCTCAAACTTCTTGCAGTGTACAACACAGTGAGAGCTTTTGAACAATTTGTAGTTGGCAAAGTTATTCCAATAGCCACAGACAACAACACTACAATGCTTTATATCAACCACCAAGGAGGAACAAAATCCATGTCTTTCTTGCTACTAACAGTACAGTTTTGGGACTGGTGTATTCTCAAGCATGTCATTTCACAAGTCATACATGTACCAGAAGTGGAGAATCATGAAGCAGACTTCTATACCAAGATGACACACAATGAGTGGGAATTACAGTACCATCTCAAGTTTTAACACTTATAATGAATTGTTATTGCACTGAAAGAGATGAATAAACAGATTGTTGCTGGGTAGTCAATAAGAGCTATGATGAAGAAATCACCACCAGCACAGGTGTAAGCAAACAGCAAAACATGCCTCACTTCCACTCCCTCCCTTCCTCCCTTCCTTCTTTACAGCAATAAAGTTTTCTCTCTCTCTCATTCAGTTCTTTACTTTGCAGCATGCAGCATGTCCACAGAAAGTGTGCTTACTTTTATCAGCTTTTTGCAGATGATCCTCCTGTTTCCTCCACTCTTTAATCATTTTTTCAGATGAGGAGGCCCAAAATGTCTCTGCACTGTTCACTGTATCCATACTCCTTAGCATATTTTACTACCTCTAATTTAAAAGGAATGCTATATGCTAGCCTTTTCTGCTTTGCACTGGTAGAATGAGTTCCCATACTCTGCAAGAAAAATGTGCCCCATATTCATCACCACATCTACTGCCTGCTTCCTTTTACAAATATAATCTCAAAGCAGCACAGAATCATAGAATAATGGAGTTGGAAG